CTCTAAATAAACAAATAAATACAAATAAAAAATAAACTTGGAGGAGCAGCTAGGAGGACATGTTGGGATCAGCAAGTTTGGCAGCTTCTCCAGACAGGACAGTAAATAGCATCCGCGTGAGCCAGTCAGGCAAATGCAGAAAGTCAGGTCCATGGATCTCGGCCCACTCTTGCAGAAGCCTCGGCGTGCACCTGATGGCATATCACACCCTCCACGGCACTGGCCTGTTCCCAGCAAGTAGGACCCGGCCCTCATGGCTCCTACTTCATGGCTAGACAACTAAGCCCCGCCCAGAGCCGTAGGCCCCGCCCCATCACCGTGCCCCGTCCTTTGCAAAAGGCTGAACTCCACCCAAGCCCCCAAACAAAAACCCTAGTTGCCAGACTCCTTGCTTCCAACCCCAGCCCTCGGCCGAAAGATAGGCCCGGGCAGTTCTACCTAGTCCCAAGCAGGCTAGGCCCCACTCCACCCGTGGAAGCAGGCCACTAGCAGAAGGCTACATTTCATCCTATTTCAGAAACACCTACCCCATGGCTCTTTCCCCATCCGTAGCAAAAGGCTGAATACCACCGCCTCAGCCAGCTGGCCCGCTCCTTAGCTCTGTCCCTCATACTTAGCAGAAGGGTGACCCCACCCCATCGCTCTGGTCCCGCCCCTAGCAGAAGGCTGGACTGTGCCCTAGCACAGGCTCCATCCTGTATGGCTCCTGCCTGCATTCCTTATAGAAGACTGGATTCTGTCCCAGCCCACAGGCCCCATCCATAGCAAAAGGCTGGACTCCTCCCCTGCCCACCACTGCAAGATCATCCCCAGCCCATAGATCCGCCCCTAACAGAACTTTATTCTTCCAGCCAGCAGCCCACACCCTAAGCAGAGCCTGCACGCTCCATCTCATCCTCAGGTTCGGACTACCCAGGTCCAGACCAGTAGGAGGGACATCCTCCCAGAGCAAGGCCCCACCCCTTCTGATGGCTCCACCCACCCCAACCCTGGGCCGGACTCCTTCCCCAGGCTCAGCCCTAGCCAGTAGGCCTCGCCCCGCCCGCGTGCTCCGTAATTTGGCGAGACACCCTCAGGGCCTCAGGCCCCGCCCCCGCCCCAGGCTCCGCCCTCCCATCCCAGCACTTGGCTGAACTCTTTTCAGGACTCACAGTCACCGCCCCACCCTGCCTCCTGCAGCCCCGCCGCTCCACCGGCCTGTACTCCCGGCCTGAAGTGCAGAGCCTCACCATGAGCTCCTCTGCTGCCAGCCCGCTCTTCGCGCCCGGCGAGGACTGCGGCCCCGCTTGGCGAGCGGCTCCCGCGGCCTATGACGCGTCCGACACGCACCTGCAGATCCTGGGCAAGCCGGTGATGGAGCGTTGGGAGACTCCCTACATGCATGCGCTGGCGGCGATAGCTTCCTCCAGAGGTACCCTGTCCGAGGAAACTGAGGTTGCAGCTCAGGCGTGCGGGAGTTCCCATGCGTGCTCGTGCCTCAGTTTCCTTGCGTGGACCTACCCCGGGACCACCTTGGCCAGGAAGGGAGGGTGTTGCCAAAATGTGGACGCACATAAGAGGCGCCTGCCTCCAACTGTAACTTCCTCTCTGCCGAGGGAAAAGACTATTACTCTCTGGGGCTGGCTTGGAGGGTGGGTCTTCCGATCACAGCCCTGAGTAGAACTGAGGGACAGAGTGGAGGGGCTGGGGCTGGTCGGGAGTCTCCCTCGACTGTGGCTAAGAATAGCTTGGGAAAACTGAGCAGAGAGGCAGCTGTCTTGGAGCTGTGGTCAGGAACTGCTGGTTGAGAGAGGTTAATTGGTGTTTGGGGCTCCCCAGCCTAAAACAGAGCAGATGGGCAGTGAGCCTCAAGTTCACCCCCGGCAGATGGGGACCTAGGGTCAGGTGATGAATGAAACATGGGTTAAGGGGCCTGCAGGTGTCAGGCATCCAAGCCGGGCTTGTTCCTTGCTAACTCCACAGATAAGGGCCATAGCACAAACAGCAGCGTGGGCAGGGGCTCAGAGTCCAGGGATCCCTGGGACCAGGTCCAAGACAAGAGCTGTGCCTGTCCGAAGCCTCCCAGGCCAGCCACACTGATTGGCAGCTGTCCAGGGCCCACACTATTGTGTTACTTTGTTCTGTCCACCCACACGGTCCTGCTGGCTGGTTATCCTTGAGGCATGTGACTGGCAACTGGGCCCCCCCCCCCATGTCCCCCCCCCCCCAGCCAAGGCAGCCTTCCTGTGTTTTGTACTCCCAGGGGGTCGTGTCCTGGAAGTGGGCTTTGGTATGGCCATTGCGGCCTCCAGGGTGCAACAGGCCCCCATAGAAGAACACTGGATTATTGAGTGCAATGATGGGGTCTTCCAGCGCCTACAAGGCTGGGCCCTGCAGCAGCCACACAAGGTACCACTGGGGTGGCAATCTGGGAGTACCCCGGGGTTAGGTGGTCCTGGGGAGCCATTTGACCCCCAATCTTCTTTCCTTTCCAAGGTTGTTCCCTTGAAAGGCCTATGGGAGGAGGTGGCGCCTACACTGCCTGATGGCCACTTTGATGGTGAGAAGGCTCTGTGAGCCCAGCAAAGGGGCCACGCTCCAAGGAAAATGCTGGCCCTCGGTCCTTCTTGGCAACCATTGCACTATTAGATTGGTGGGGCTTGCCGTCAGGTCTGAGTCCCAGGATGCACGTGGTGTAAGGAGAGGTCCTTTATGCACCTCCAGTGTGCACTGGGGACAGACTAGAGAGGGCAGGAATGAGCAGCTGTGGCTGGGTCAGATGAGGTGTGAGAGGCTGTCTGCCAGGCCCATATTCTCTCTGCAGGGATCTTATATGACACATACCCACTGTCTGAGGAGACCTGGCACACTCACCAGTTCAACTTCATAAAGGTGGGGCTGTGGGTCCAGGAGTGGTGGGCAGGGCGTGGGACACCTCTCTTCCCACAGCCCCTACCCTGTCCACTGGCCTCTCTTTGCAGAACCATGCTTTCCGCTTGCTGAAGCCCGGGGGCATCCTCACCTACTGCAACCTCACATCCTGGGGGGAACTGATGAAGTCCAAGTACACAGACATCACCACCATGTTTGAGGTGCGACCACCTGATAGCCCCGAAGCCTGGAGCAGTGACCTTGGGAGTGACTGTGGTTGACCTGTGACCTCAGAGGCCAGAGGCCTTCAGTGGGTCAGGCAGTACTGCGATTTCCCATTGTTTAAGCCTCCCGTGGAACCCCAGTGCCGGTGCGGCCCCACCCACTGCCCTCTACTTGTGTGGCCACACTTAGCTTAGAGATTGATGCTCTCCTGAACCTGCAGGCTGGCAGTAGGTCTGTGTGATGATGCTTGTCAGGGACTAGAAGCCAAGGTTCTGTCACACCAACCCAACCCCCAGTCCTGTCCCATGTGCCCCTCCCTACAGGAGACACAGGTGCCTGCGCTGCAGAAGGCGGGCTTCCGGAGAGAGAACATTCGCACCGAGGTGATGGCATTGGTACCGCCAGCAGACTGCCGTTACTATGCCTTCCCTGAGATGATCACTCCCCTGGTCACCAAGCACTGAGCGACTGGCCTAGGCTGGAATGAGCGGATATCCTTTTCAGTGCCTTGGTGGGTGGAGTTGTGAGCTCCAGCCTCTCAGCTGTCCCTGAACTGTGACACTCTTGCTGGCCCAGCTACCTTCCCAGAGTTCAGGGATAAAATAAATCCTAACAAAAAGACTGGTGGCTGGACAGTGAGCTGGAGGGAGGGCACATCTGGTTCAGAACATGCAGTTATCCATCGCTGTTGCCCCGTTGCCCTGCCCAGACGTGACCAACGAACCATTGTCCGTTTTCAGCAGGAAGCCCAGCCCACACCAAGCCAGGACACCTTACTCTGCAAATGTCTGCTATCAAATGTACTAACCAGGTCCACACTGCAGCCCCTGCCTGGCCCTGAGAGTGACTGCCTCAGCCTGTAGCCTATACCCAGCTCCTAGAGACCCCTCTGCTCACACCTGCCCTTGCCACAAGAAATCCTCCCCACAGCCCCTTCCCCAGCACTAAGGCCAGGTTCAGCATTTACAACAGGGAGCAGGCTGTCCCTCTGCCTGGGGAGTCCCAACCTTAACAGAGCCTTGTCTTAAAAGCTTGGAGCAGGGCATGTTATGGTGACCTTTAACCCCAGCCCTTGGAAGGCAGAAGCAGATGGATCTCTTGAGTTCGAGGTCAGTCTGGTCCACAAAGTGAGTGTCCCTGTAGGACAACCAGGGCTACACAAAGGGTTTCTCTGTGGTTTTGGAGCCTGTCCTGGAACTAGCTCTTGTAGACCAGGCTGGTCTCGAACTCACAGAGATCTGCCTGTCTCTGCCTCCCAAGTGCTGGGATTAAAGGCGTGCGCCACCACCGCCCGGCTGACCCTATCTGTTAAAACACAAAAAAACTCCCCTTGGGATGGGCAGGCACCTGCCCCTTCCATGTCCTGGGTTGCCAAGATGTACCACCCCAGCCCATCAGCTAGAAATGCCAGATCCTGGGGCTGGAGAGATGGCTCAGAGGATAAGAGCTCTGGCTGCTCTTCCTGAGGTCCTGAGTTCAATTCTCAGCAACCACATGGTGGCTCACAGCCATCTGTACTGAGACCTGGTGCCCTCTTCTGGCATGGAGAAGTCCAGGCTAGAGGAACAGTGTATACTTTTTAAAGAGAGGAATGCCAGATCCCAGGGCCACTGCTGTCACGAGCTGCAGAGTAAAGATCTGCATGGCACAGAGGCTGAGCCATGCAAACAGACCCTAGGCTCCTCCTCCCAGGGCAGACAGCAGGCCAGGGATGTGTCTAGGGGAGTGACTAGCCTGAGCTGCACAGTGGGCAGAAGTCGCAGTCTGAGCCCCAAGGCTTAGGTGTGAGCGCACAAGCCATTGAGACTAAGGGGCCACCAGTTTCCTGCTCCCCTACGGCAGGGCCAGCAGTCCTTACAGAGGGCACAGGACATGCCCAGTGTGATGCCTCCCCACTGGGCCACAGTCCACACAGAGCGCACACACAGGACTAGAGTGGGTTTATTCACACTGGGGTTCCGGAGCTGAGCCACTCGGCCTGGCGGCTCTACCTGCGGTACCAGATCTTCAGCTTCTGCTCACGCTTGATTTTCCGCTGCAGCTGCAGGATTCCGTAGAGCAGCGCCTCAGCTGTGGGCGGGCAGCCTGAAGGACACACATGCTGAGACCCCACGGGCCCACATGGAGGACTCTTGGGGTACTCTGAAGTGTCCTTGCTGTGTTGGGCCTCTCGATACCCACTCTACACAGAGAAGGGCCCAGGTTGTGACTCTGGTGACCAGCGGGGCCCTCAGGAAGACTCACAGAAACTGGACCACTGGGTCAGGGAGATGGGCAGTAAGCTTGGGCCAGGGGCATCTTGAGATTCCAGGTCTCAGAATGCCAGAGGCCTCAGGAATGCAGCTAGGAGCTGCGCCCCCTCCCCATTTAGCTGGCCCTTGTTGCCCTGCAGGCTGCTGCCAGAGGGCCCTGCTGGGGGCAGTGGCCAGTGAGCACAGAGTAAGACAGACTGGGCAGCGGGGGACCGGGACATCATATCTGTCCTTCCGCCCTCCAGGACACAGGACACTGTCTGGTGCAGTGGGGCAGGATGGCTGGCCTCACCTGGCACATAGATGTCCACGGGCACAATACGGTCACAGCCTCGTACCACCGAGTAGGAGTAGTGGTAGTAGCCCCCACCATTGGCACAGCTAGGGAGAGGATGAGGCGGTTCAGATGCAGGTCCACCCAGCCCACCCCACACCCTTCATCCTGGCCCTGGGAGAGGAGAAAATACAAGGGCCAGACCCTACATTCGGGTAAGAACTGGGTTCAGTAAAGGGGGCTTCTAGAACCTTCTGTGGGAAATTGGGATGCAAGTGGCAATGATAATCACATGGAAAAGTGCCCTCAACCAAGCATTTCTGCTGATGGACCTGGGGTGGGACTGTGGGATCTAAGATGGCCTCACAAAAGTCTGGAATTCACTATACAGTAGATGACCTGAAGGTGACAGCCATGTGCCCCTACCTGTGTTACCTGGCACTGGGGATGGAACCCATGTTCCTGCACACTGGGGTGATCTCTAACCTAACCGTGGCCCTTTATGTTTTATCGTTTGAAGCAGGATCTCACTATGTAGTTCAAGCTGGCCTCGAGCTCACCGAGCACACACTCACCTCCCCATGGACACCACATAGCGAGGCTCAGGCATCTGGTCGTACACCTAAAAGACACTCAGGTCAGGTGTCTGTGGGGGGCTGGGCAGGAGAAGAAACCAAGGAGACCAGGTGTACCTTGCGGAGTGCAGGGGCCATCTTGTTGGTAAGTGTGCCAGCTACAATCATCACATCGGCCTGACGCGGGCTGGCACGGAACACCACACCAAAGCGGTCCATGTCGTACCGTGGGGCGGCCATGTGCATCATCTCCACCGCGCAGCATGCCAGGCCAAAGGTCATTGGCCACAGGGAGCTCTGTGAGGGCAGGGGCAGGTCACACGTCCGTTCAACACATCCTCCACCTTGTGGGCACAGTGACATTGAGGGCTTGGCAGTCACATGAGGCTAGTGCCTGCTGCAGACCCAGGACTCGGGTGGCCTCTAAGTCAAGCTGCTGTGCTGGGCACCAGGAATACCCCCTCTTGGAATCCCTGGACTCTATCCACAGTGCATAAGCTCCTCGTGGATCCGGCTGCCCTGCGCCTGCATCTGAGACCCGGCCGATGTGTCTGGGCTGAAACTGCCCTGTCTCAATAAAAAGGCATTTTTATCAGCTCGTGAGATATCTCAATGAGTAGAGGACTTGCCAGTAAGTCAGAGAACCTGGAATGGGCAAGCTTTGTTAACCAATCATCTTTAAGAGGAGGGACCTAGTTAATGTGTGGCTTGAATTTGATCCCTGGGAGCTACATGGTAGAAGGAGGGGACCGAGTCCTTCAAGCTGTCCTCTGGCTTCTACACACATGGTATGGTGCACAGGCATGCATAAACACATACTTGACAAAACAGATAAATATAATAAAATGTTCTTAAGATGTGCAGGATAGCCAGGACCACACAGAGACAGAGGAGGTCTGCTGAAGGCCGTCATCCAGCCATCCGAAGTGACAGCTGGGCGGGCAGCCAGGCCCTTGGGAAGGAGCCTCAGCAGAGCCCTGATGGGAAGGGGACTTACACGGCGTGCCCAGTTGATGAGGTCATCCAGCTTGGCCACCACATACTCGGCCCGGTTTCTGGGAAGATGGGAGGGCTTGGGAACCACAGCCCCCCCTGCAGCCTTGGTCACAGCAGACTGTGTGCTAAAGAGACAGAGCACATGGCATGGGGGAGAGTTGGCTAGGTGACCCCAGTGTCCTGTCTGGGACACACTAGAGAGGCGAGATCATAGGGCGGGGCAGGGTGTAGGCAGCACCTGAGTGGAGGGCCTGGAAGACAGCACTGGGGTCTCTCCCCAAAGGCTGGATTACCTGCTTGGGCCCTCGGTGGCCACACTCTGATGGACTCTGCGCACCTGGGCCACTGTGTCTATGCTGGACCTGCGAACAGGGACAGCGGTGTAAGACCACCAGGCCCCAAGCAGCCGTTCCTTCCCACTTCCTTGCTCACCCAAGGTCCCTGCCTCATCTACGGGCCGTCCTGCTCTCTCAGACACGACCTGTGCTGTGCTCTTTGCGTCTGAGAACACCAGCTGGTCAACGGGCTGTCAGATGTCCTCGCCAGGACAGTCCTGAGGTGCTGTGCTAGAAGCCCTTTACCTGTTCCGAGGCAGCCAGCCTGCGGAGGTCCGGGGAAGTGGTCATAGAGAACCTTGCTGGGACAGGCAGTACGTGAGCTATGAGGGACCCAAGTGTGTGGACAATGCTGTCCCTCCTTGGCCATCGCCCTTCCAGACAGTCCCCACACACCATGTGAGGAGGACACCTGGTCAGCTTTCCTGAACCTGCTGGACACTACAGAGGGGCCCTCCTGGCTCCAAGCCCTGCAGCTCTGTGCTGTGCCCTGACAGCAGGCTGGATTTGTGACAGACAGGCACACTCACCGTAGGCCCAGGATCCGCACACAGAAGAGACCAGGAGCTGGGGAGAGAAGCATAGCAGCTTGGGTCCAGCAGTTTAGTTCTGGGTCACGGCCCTTCCCTGCAGAGCTCCAGCACACTTCCTGAGCCTTGGCTGAGCCTCCCTCTGCCTCCCATACCTCGCCAGGACCCCAGCCAGCTGCTCCTGAGTAACCTGTCCTACATCTCCACACAGCAGGATGCAGTCCAAGGGCAGCTTTGAGGGTGGGATGGAGCTAGTCATGTGTTGGCCTCTTCGCCTCAGCACCCAGGAATGGGGCCTGTTTGCATGAGCCCCTCCAGAGGCCACTAAGATGTGCCCTGAGGTAGCAGGACTGGGTGTTTTGTGAGGACAGATGCGAATCAGGTCTGAAGATGTACAAATGGCATCCCAGCACTTTGGAGATTGAGACAGGGGGTTGCATGATCTAGAACAGCCTGGCTTACACACTGGAAAAACCCAAACAGTATTAAAGACACACAAACAAACAAAAACCAACCAGGGGTGGGGTGGGGTATACAGAGATTAATACAAGAATAACCTCATGAGGTTATGGGGAGGTGACACTTGTGACACCCTGACCCTGAATTCAGCTTCCAGGACCATAGGGTAAGTTTCTGTCACCTGGAGCTGGGTGTGGAGGTGCACGCCTTTAATCCCAGCACTGAGGAAACACAATTGGAACTCTGTGAGTTCAGGGCCAACCTGGTCTATATAGCAAGTTCTAGTCAGCCAGGGCTACACAGGGAGACCCTGTCTTGGTGCTAAAGAGGGAGGAGGCCTCACCTGAGACGGAGCCCCCCCACAATGACTTGGGGACTATTCTGTCTCTGAACCTGGGCTAGGGTTTACAGCTGCTTTCCATGCTGTCCCTCACTTCAACCTTGTTCAGTGATGCTGTTTCCAAGGTCATGACTGTGGCCTGCGGCTTGGACCAAAGGACGGTGACTGTTAGACCTAGACTCCTGTCTGAGGGCACACACCGGCCTTGGTTTCCCAGATGAAAATTTAAGGCTTTGAATGAACTAACAGTGAAGTAAATGCCCTACTAAGTGGTTGGGGTGCCAGCATCAGGCTTTGGTTTTAAGGGCCACAGGGTCTCTCTATGTTGCCCGGGCAAGCTCTCAACTCCGACCTCAAGAGAGCCTTCCGAGCAGCTAGGACTGCAGCAGGTAGCACCAAACCCAGCTTGGACCAGACCTTTGTGCTGTCACGCTGCAAATCAGACGTGGGGCCTTGAACATGCTCAGTGAGTGCTTCAATACTGGGTCACATCCCAGGCCTCTGCCTCTTCCCGCTTTCTTTCTCCTGTTTTTAAAGGGTCTCACTGTGCATCCTTGGCTGACCTGGAACTTCCTAGGGAGACCAGGCTGGCCTAGAACTCACAGGGATCCCAGGGATCCTTCTTTTAAAGCAGGGTCTCAGGGTCTAGCCCAGGCTAGGTTGGTTCATCAGCTTCCTCTTGCCTCAGCCTCCACAGGACTAGGTTCATAGCTGTACCCGACAATGCTCTACCGCAAACATCTTCTTTGCTGCCCTAAAGTATTAATGAAAATTAGCTTTTCCTTCAGATCCAACTATGGGTAGGAAAACACAGCAATTGGTAATAAGGTCTATCACCTGTTCATCGGCAAGTGCACAGCCAGTCCTGAGTGAGCTCAGGAAGCAGCAGTCAATGCCATGAACCCACTCCTTCCAGTCCTCACAGTGTCCATGCCACAGTTGGGCTTGGCATACTGCCCAGGTCTGTAACCCCAGCATGAGAGATGGAGGCAGAGCACCATTAGTTTGGTATAACCTAGGCCACACAGAAAGACCCATCTTAAAGGAAAACAAAATCACCAGGCCGTGGTGCCACACATCTTTAATCCCAGTACTGAGGAAGCAGAGGCAGGAGGATTTCTGTGAGTTTGCGGTCAGCCTGGTCTACAGAATGAGTTCCAGGACAGCCAAGACAGTTTCAGAGAAACCCTGTCTTCAAAACCAACCAACCAACCAAAAAAAGTTCAAGTCCAAATCTGTCATCCTAGCACTTGGGGGGTGGGTGCTGGAGGACCAGGAGTTCAAGGAGGGGGGATGCTGGAGGACCAGGAGTTCGGGGGGGGGGGAATGCTGGAGGACCAGGAGTTCAAGGGGGGGGGGGAATGCTGGAGGACCAGGAGTTCGGGGGGAGGGGGATGCTGGAGGAACAGGAGTTGGGGGGGGGAATGCTGGAGGAACAGGAGTTGGGGGGGGGGGATGCTGGAGGAACAAGAGTTCAAGGTCAGCCTCCCACTGATTCTGTCTTAAAAACAAAACGGCTGGCGCTTAAGTTCCGTTGGCAGAGTCCTTGCCTAGCACACACCAAGCCCTTAAGTTCCCTCCCAAGTGCTGCAGAAATGGGCACGAGGGTGTATGGTGCACGCCAGTCACCCAAGGGGTGGAGGCTTCAAGTTCGTCCTCAGGATAAATAGTGAGTTTGAGGCCAACCTAGCCTTCATGAGACCCTGTCTCAAAGCAACAACAGAACCCGGGTGGAGTGAGACCCGACCGCCTGAGATCGCAGGTTCCTAGTGTCAACAGTGCCACCATCTAGGGGTTAAGACGGTCTGCTAAGGGAAACTTATCAAGGGTCGCTCAGCACGCCAGACTGCGTTCGCGAATAATCCCTGTATATAAAGAGAACGGCACCAAGGCTTCCATAGGGAAACCGAGACATTTGCAATGGTAGAGGCCCTGGCTGGCTGCCCAGGGCTGCGATGGAGGCGCAAGTGCCCGGGTGTGTAGCCTGACTGCCCTGGGTCCGCTCCCAGCCCCGCTCTCTGTGTTTCAAGGACATCAGCGGGCTCCTGCTATCAGTTTCCTGAGGCTGGGAGACAGACGGGCCTCAGCGTCCGACTGGAATCTACCGCAATAACAGGAGGAGGTCCACAGCTGACAGAATATGTGAAGTGGATTCAAACGCACTTCGGCCCGGTCCCGGACCCCGACATTACCGAGGGCTGAGACGCCAACGTGGCTCCCTGCGGCGCTTGGACCCCAAGGTCCCCGCTGCCCCAGCTCGCAGCCCAAGGCCGACCCGCTATCCCGAGCTCAAGGTTCACTCACCCGCCAGCGCCACCATCTTCGCCTCGGCCTTCAGACAACCTCTGCGGTCCGTCCTCCAAAGCGTTCCGGGTCTGGTCCTTAGCGCAAATAGGCGCTCACGGAAACCGGAACACAGAAGCGGAGTCGTTCCGACGCGTTTACTTTACTGCCTGTGGTCGCGCGCGCGCACTGCGAGCTTCCAGCCTCCTGTGACAGTGAACTGCAACAAAAAGAGGGCTTTTTCAGGAAAAAAGGACATCCAAGCATGTGCGTCCCTGGGTGGGCTCGAACCACCAACCTTTCGGTTAACAGCCGAACGCGCTAACCGATTGCGCCACAGAGACAGCGCTGAGGGAAAGCCTCTAGCATAGTCTTACAAGGCTCTGTACACGGGCTGTGACGTGCGCTTGTGCACAGTAGCTACACACGGGGCGGAGTCCGGGCAGGAGCAGCGCTAGCCGGCGTGCCGAAATAGCTCAGTTGGGAGAGCGTTAGACTGAAGATCTAAAGGTCCCTGGTTCGATCCCGGGTTTCGGCAGTTGTTTTGAGTCATTTAATGTATCTGGTATTTTTGAGATTTTTTTTGTTACGTTTTCACCCACAACGCTGAATTTTTCCAATCTGACATTTAATTTTTTAATTATTTTGAGACGTTGGAGATCAATATAATATTCTTTAAATTGGTAGGGTTAAAGCAATTGAGTATGGAATCTAAAAATTTCAGGGTGAAATATTACACGCCTGTCATTCCAGCACATCAGAGAAGCAGGAAGATTGGCTCGAAGTCAAAAAGCCAATCGTCATAATAGTAATAATAATAATAAACAATAAGAAGAAGAACCATCTGGAGTTCCAGTTCCAAGGTCTCTTCTGACCTCTTCAGGCACCAGGTATGCAAGAGGCCAAACCACCTGCACACTTAAAATAAAATCATAATAATCCCAGCACTCAGGAGAGCTCCGTGAGTTTAAAGCCAGCCTCTCTCTACAGAGCTAGTTCCAGGGCTACACAGAGACACCCTGTCTTGAAAAACCTAAACAAACAAATAAGTTAATTAACTTTAAAAAAAATAAATAAGATAAAAAGAATTAAATCCAGGAAGGTGAAGTTCACTCTTCACTATCATGTGGAAGGCTCCGGGTTCCACCCCTGCACCCCGCTACCTGGGCACGGCACGGCACTCCGGCACAGGGGAGATTGTTCTTGGCTACACAGTAGTTTCGAGGCCAGAGGTTGGCCTACGACTCAGAGGGTAAAAGCACTTTGCTGCCAAGCCCAAGCTAGACCGCCGGATTCCACAAGATGGCAGTAGAGAACTGATCCTGAACGTTCTCCTCTGCCTTGGTACCAACATCTGCCTTCCACTCACACTCACACACACACACACACACACACACAACCAAAAATAAATAAATCTTAACACTAAATCCAAATTAACGGGAGAGTGTACTGTGTTTACACAATTGTGTCCAGTTCACAAAATGGGTAAACCACAGGAGTTCCGGTGACAGCACCCTGGCAAGCTGTGAGGAGGGCAGGCAGAGGTATGGGGTGCGGGGGGGGGGGGGGGGGGGGGGGGGGGGGAGACGGTGTGAATGCTGGGGGTGGCCTGGAGAGAGCTATGGTCTGGAAAAAATCTTCTAGGTTCTTTTGTTTTTGAGTCTGAGCTTCACTCTGCAGCCTAGGCTGGCCTTCAAGGTAATCCTCCACCCTCGACTCTACCATGCCCATCTGCAAAGAGAGTTCAGAGGGGTCCTAGGTAGGCCACAGCCAGCTGAGCCGTTCTGTATCGTGAGATTCCCCCAGCCCCAGAGCTAAGGAGTCCTGCAGGCTATTCTGGTGCTGCCTGAGCCGCACCCAAACCTTCCGTGACAGCAGCTTGTGTCCTGATAATGTCCAGCTAACTGGAGGCTGTCTCTACAGCCGCCCCTCACTGTCTCCCTGGCACCCTTGCGATGCTGACTCCGCAGGTGAGGAAAACTCAGCATGCGCAGTCCTGCGTGGACTGTAATCTGAGCATGCGCAGTCCTGTGTTGACTGTAATCTGAGGTGGACCTTTGGCAGTGCCAGGGTTAGATGAGGTTATGGGGTCCCCAGCATGGCATCGATTGACGGCTTCTCAGCGGAACATGGTGGTATCCAACTGGGATCCCGACCTTTTTAAGGCTGAAGGAGCAGATCTCTGAGTTTGAGGCCAGGCCTGTCGACATAGCAGGTTCCAGGACAGCCAGGGCTGTAGAGAGACCTTGTCTCAAGAGAAAGGGAGATAGACAGAGTGACTAGGGCGGTAGTCCTGAGAATTCAAGGCTACCTTGTGCTACTTGGTGTTTGAGGCAAACCTGGGACGACAGTGAGATTCTCACTAAATGTGGAAGGGGGCAGCCAGATAGCTTAGTAGAAGCACAGGGTGCCCCTCTCTCAAATACACACACACACACACACAAAACTCAAGCATAAGTTTGCACACACAGGCACACCACACTCAAGCACAAGTTTGCACACGCACGCACACCACACACACGCACAACTCAAGCATAAGTTTGCACACACACATGCACAATTCAAGCATAAGTTTGCACACAAACGCACACACACATCACACTCAAGCGTAAGTTTGCACAGACACACCCACTCCCACACCTACTCATCTCCCTCCCCCCAGCAAATCCTTGGGGAATAGGCAGGGTAGATTGGCGGCAGCAGCAGGGGCTTCATCACTGAAGAAGTGCTCAGCCTTAGTGTGCAGTCCTTGCCCAGCCTCTGCCCACTGCCTACTATTGACCACGAGCCTGGCAGATGGAGAGGGGTCAGGGGACAACCACGTGGGACAGACAGGTGAGACTTCCCGTTCTCTTAGCATGGCATAGTGTCACGCTCCACAGTTCACTCGCCAGTGAGTCAGGATCCTCACCCATGCCTCTATCCGCTGACCACCTGTCGCCTCTTGAGGGGGTCTGAGTCTTCATTATGTAGGGTCTGGGAGTCAGGTGACACAGGGTTGTGGTCCCTGAGCTAGAGGGGGTGTTGGCACCAGGGAGTCTAGGGATGGGGTTGGAGGCCTCAGAACCACCCCCTCCCAGTGCTGCATAAGAGAGGCCTCAGGACACCCCATCACAGCGGGGGCAAACAATGTGTTCATCCCTCCACAGGGGCTAGGAAGCCCTGAATAAGAGTCAGGTCAAAGGCCCTGAGCACAGAACAATTAAGAGCCATGGAGGATATGGGGGCACTGGCAAGGCAGGGGTGAGTCCTCTCTGGTTTCTTTTCCTTGACAGCAGGTCAAAACCTGAGGTGTAAGACCCCAAGTGTGGAGGAGAATGTGGCTACAGGACAAGATGAGACACAGGCCGTCAACACCCACAGGACACACGGCCTGAAGAGGTGCAGAGGATGGGAACACTGCTGGCCCTTCTTTAACTTGTGACCAGGCAGCACTTCTCAGTCAGTACCACACAACTGACCCTCATCTGAGACACAACAGTAAGGCCATATGGTCAGGACCAGGGCAGTGAGAATCTTGAGACACCACCGGGTAACATACAAGGGCATTTCCTGCAGTTCTGAAAGGCTCCTCACTCCCTGCCAGTTCCGCCAACTTCCCAAAGCCAACAGGAGTCACCGTTAGGTTTCTTTTTTTTTTTTTTGCTTTTTCGAGACAGGGTTTCTGGAGCTAGCTCTTGTAGACCAGGCTGGCCTCGAACTCACAGAGATCTGCCTGCCTCTGCCTCCCGAGTGCTGGGATTAAAGGCGTGCGCCACCACCGCCAGCTACACAGTTAGGTTTCTTTTGGCCATTTGGCCAAGGCCCCGAAAGCAAAAATGTGATAGTTCAATTTGGTTTCGTAGCCTCGAGGTCTGCAGACGGTCTCCATGGAAGCCCAGCTGTCCTGGGCCATCCTGGCAGCACTGTGCTGTCAGATGCAGGTGTCTAGGACCTCTCATCCTGGGGTGGCCACAGTGTGGAGGACACCCGTATGTCCCATATCCAGGAGACACTGCTGAGCACCCATGGGGCTGTGCAGCTAGGACCATTCATTACAGGCAGTGGCTTTACCCTTGCCCTTGCCGGACATCCACCTGAGTTCATGAGACACAGCTTCCGCACATCCACCTGAGGCTATGAGGCTCTGGTATCCAGCGTGGTGGCCAGCGCAGCAGGAGCTGCCTTTTTTTTTTTTAAAGATTTATTTATTTATTATATATACAGTATTCTGTCTGCAAGTATCCCTGTGGGCCAGAAGAGGGCACCAGATCTCATTACAGATGGTTGCTGGGAATTGAACTCAGGAAGAGCAGCCCGCATGCTCTTTCCCGCTGAGCCATCTCGCCAGAGCCAGGAGCTGGCTTTTCTTGCTGCCGTTCCCACAGCCCTCAGCCCCAAAGGTTTCTAGGTGAGGTGGTGGCCATGAGTACAGTGCCAAGGTTTCAGGGCACGGCTGAGTGGGGACAGGAGTATGGGGGACACACAGAGGCCACTGAGCAAACATGCCCCCACCTCCCAAAGACAGTAGCTGCAGGTTCCCACCTCCTGCTCGCCCGCCATATGAGAGTGGCAGAAAAGATTCCAGAAACTACAGAGAAGAGATAAGCAGAACACGTCAGGGAAACACAACAACGCTCTGGAAGCTGTGTGTTCCAATCAGTCTTTCCAAGTAACACAGGACCTGTCAGTCCCACATGCTGGCCACACTGCCGTGACCATGACACATGTGAGTTCAAACTCATTTATAAACGAAATAATTAAAATCAAACAAACAAAAACAAACACACGCACATACACGCACAGAAACTTCCAGAAAGTTCTGTCTGTAGCTGCCAGGAGGTTTCTGGCGTGTCAATGACATTTGATATCCTGGACTCAGTACTGAAGATGCAAGACCCACAGTTCAAAGTCAGCACACTTCTGAGCCTCTTGCTTCTAGTACATTCTTATTCTTGCAGAGCCCTCTGGCAGGGTGTGGAGGGCTCGCTGGCCAGGTGGAGGTTTGGCATCAGCGACGGCGACGGTTCCTCTCCTCCAGGAGTTCATTGTCAAAGATTTCCTTTTCCCTTCAAGAAACAAGAGATGGACTGATCAGTGGTGGCGCACGCCTTTAATCCCAGCACTCAGGAGGCAGAGGCAGGTAGATCTCTGAGTTCAGGGCCAGCCTGGTCTACAGAGCGAGTTCCAGGACAATTAAAGCTAAACAGATAAACTCTGTCTCAAAAACCAAACAGACAAAAAACATAAAAAACCCTCATCTTTGCCAGGTGAGCTTGGGATAAAACCTAGGGCTTCAAGCAAGAGTTTATGGGTGTTCCACTGAGCAACAGCCCAGGCTGACTTTTTTTTTTAATGTGTGTGATAAAAGTCTCACATAGTCCAGGCTGGTCTTGGGCTTACAGCCATCCTCCTGCCTCACTCTGTAGAATGTTATTTCGGGAGCTGAAAGAATGACTCGGGTGTTAGGACAATTTGCTGATTCAGTTCCCAGCACCCACATGGTGGCTCACAAACATTCAGAACTCCAGTTCCAGGGGATCCAGTGCCCCCTTCTGATATCTGCAGGTACCAGGCACACACACAGGCAAAGCACCCATAGTCATAAACATAGACACATCTAAAAATAAAGAGAGCATTATTTGGGGCGTGATGGGGCAGTAAGCACTGGCCTTGTTCATCTCAAGAACCACATCACAAGACAGTGCTGTGGTAGGCCTTGCTTACTAAGTCCATGCACAGACACAAATACACACGCACGCACGCTCACAATATGGAGGCCAGATGGCCGGGCGGTGGTGGCACACGCCTTTAATCCCAGCACTCGGGAGGCAGAGGCAGGCGGATCTCTGTGAGTTCGAGGCCAGCCTGGTCTACAGAGCTAGTTCCAGGACAGGCTCCAAAACCACAGAGAAACCCTGTCTCGAAAAACCAAAAAAAAAAAAAAAAAAAAAAAAAAAAAAAAAAAAAAAATATGGAGGCCAGAGAGCCATCAGGCACGAACCCTCTATCTGGGTTTTGGAGATGAAGTCTCCACTGCACTTGGTCCTTGCTGATTAGGCTGCCAGCCTTGATATGTGGTATCCTCCTGTCTCTGCCTTCCAGGGCTCAACTATCAAACACAACCACTCCCAGCTTCTTACACAGGCACTGGTGGCAACTTTACTGACTGAATGAGACATCCTCTAGCCTGGACAGCCGGCCTGGACCTCAGGCTCCTCCTCACCTCCCAACACTGGCATGAGAACAACGGATTAGTGTATTAAGTAAGGCACCTTTGACTGCTGCAGCTGGTGACTGGAAGCGTCTTCGAAAGCCCTAGCTGCCATGTCACTCAGGGTCAGAATCTTGAAAATGACAGGAGCTGCACACTTCCTGGGCGGACCACAGCGGGAGCCTCCTCCACCTAACCTGGCTGCTCGGGTGGCCCACGGCCAGCCTGGGGACGCCGACTTACCATTGGGGATAATGGGCCCCAACAAGCCTGGCAGCGTGCCCAGAGGGGGATTAGAGGCTCGGGGCCACACATCTCAAGAGTGCTGCGGGCCGACAGGAGAGGCCTCTTCATCCTGCTGCCCTGCTGACGGCTACACTGCCTCTTAATCTAGCTCTGTACCCGCTACCAGTTGCACCAGAGCAGGGGGAGCAGAGTCCACATCGCCCCGCACAAGATTATAGAGGTCTCAGGCAGAGGCGGCTCCTGCCCAGTCTCAGGGTCCTGGCTCAGAGAAGAGCCTGCAGACGTGGGCCTTTGTCCAGTCACTGTCCGGCACCTGTCTGCTGACACAGACAGCACCTGCTCCACCTTGTGGAGGAGGCTGAACAGCTGTGTTGCTACAGGGAGAGCACAGCACTCGATAAGGTGGCCTACCGGTAGCTGAGAGTAGGGCCCCGGATGTACTTCTGCTCGGCCGTCTTGTAGTCCACGCACTCCACTGCGGAGATGGCACAGATTATTGCCTGTGGGAGAACGGAAAGGGCCAGGGCTCAGTGGGCAAAGAACTAGCCAGGCATGTTTGAAGCCCTGGGTTTCATTCCCAGCACTATCACATAAAGCAGGTGTGTCCAGCCACCAGGAACAGTGAGGCTGGAGGAGTATCAAGGTCACCTTCAGCTCTCAAGGGCAGCCTTGTCTCAGCTTCCCCAGTTCTGACAGTCAGGGCCTTGGGGAGCTACCATTAGTTTAGGGAGTCACATTGTGGTTTCCGTAAACACATCTTTGTTGTTTGAAATTGTCTCTGCTGGGTATGGTGGTGACATACTCCTTTAATCTCAGCACTTGGGAGGCAGAGGCAGGTAGATCTCTGAGTTCAAGGCCAGCTTGGTCTACAAAGTTAAGTTCCAGGACAGGTAAGGTTACACAAAGAAAACTGATCTGGAAAAACTGAAGGAAAAAGAAAAAGAAAGAAAAGAAAAGAAAGAAAGAAAGAAAGAGAGAGAGAGACAGAGAAAGGAAGGAAGAAGAGAAAAGAAAAGAAAAGGTCTCACTGTGCATCTTAGGCTGGCCTGGAAGTCAGCATCCTCCTGCCTCAGTAGCTGTGTGATAAGCCTGCACAACCACACATTGGTGACAGGGTCTGTCCTGAGGTTTCCAGTAAGAACAGACAGGGTGTGAAGCTGCTCCCTGTGGGGCGTGCATGCTCAGCAGCTCCTCCACTGGCCCCATGAGGAGCTCCTCTTGGGACTGTCATACCCGACAATGCCCTGAGACAGTCAAAGTCACCCAGTTTTAAGTTACACACTGAAGTAGCCATGGTGACTTCCAGGGGACAGGTGTGGAGGTCACCCAGTACTTAGGAGGCTGAGGTAGGTAGGAAGAGCCCCAGTTTGAGGCCAGCCTGGGCTACAAGGCTAGCACACAGCCCCATCACGCATTTATTTTCCGATTTATATGGACATGTCCCAGCCATAGCAATAAGGCAACACGTCTGTCCGGGGGGCATGGGCTGACAGCTAACTGACCTGCAACTGCTTTTCCTGGAACCCCAACTGGGGACAGAGTACAAAGCCTTGTTAGTGCTGAGGATGGGGTCCGGGCACCCACCTCAGGCAGCAGCACATCCAGGATGAAACGAATGCGGTCCCCGCTGCCATGCGCAGGCACCTCCCCATCCGTGTCTCGGCAGATGCCCTGCAGGTACTCCACCACCTCATCCAGCTGTGCCTCGTCCTCCAGGTATGTCTCCACGCATGTCACATACTGGCCAGAGCTCAGGAACGTCTTCAGCCAGCGTGAGGGCTTGCGGCTGTGCAGGATGGCCCGCAGGTGGCTCTCCGCACCCTTGGCTTTTACAATGTATTCCACCAGCTTCTGGTTTGCTCTGTCCCGCGCAGCCCTGGAGCGGTCAGGCAGCACCTTCCTGCACGGCCGCCACTGTCCTGGCCGGCTGTCTCCCGCAGGCTCCTCAGGGTTCCCACTGCCCAGCTGAGGAAACCTGGTCCCCAGGACATCCTGCTGGATGGACTTGCGCACAGGGTAGCCTGCAGGGGAACACACATCAGGAGCTCACGACGCCTTCATCACTCCCCTCTCTCCAGAGCTCGCATGCCCACAAGAATCCTCATTCTCGTGGCCAGTTAGATGCCCAGTACTCCTCAGACCCCGCCTGGCACCAGCCGCCCACCTGACAAGGATGCAGAGCATCCCTGAGGGCAGCTGAGGGCACAGAGTTCTGCTCAGGATGGCACTGGCACTTGCATGCACCAAGGACAACAGGAGATCAGGATGGGCCTTCTCAGGGACCAAAGACAGACACCATGGTGAAGAACATTTATACGTACTTATATCAGCAGCATAATATTCCAAGAAAGATCCAGCGAAGGAGCCGCAGCCTGTGGAGGGCACAGGAAAGGGCCACGCTCAGACCTGCACCCTGCCAGGTCCTGTAGCTCAGGGCTTCTCAGGAGCCTTCTGGGCTATGTTTGACCCTGAGGCAGGTCTGTGGGTGCCAAGTCTGTTCATTGCCCTAGGAAGGAGCTGCCTGGGGTTCAGGGGATGGTCAAGTCACCACACAGAGGCAGTGCTGTGCAGAGGAACTGGGCCTTCAGTCAGGAGGGTTGCACCTGCCCCCACCTTCCACAGAAAAAGTATCGTCACAGGTTAGCCAGGCCAAGACAGGATGTAGGACTGGGACCACATCCACGTCAGCCCCTCCATCCTGCCCTCAGGAGATACCAATGGCGTGGTACACCCCCATACGCTCCCTGGGGTACAGCCCACATACCCAACCGCACACGGTAGTCGGTGATAAGTGACACACACCAGCCGATGGCCTGGGCGAAGTCCTCCTTGGCTCTGTCCTACAAAACCCAACAGCAGGGCACAAGTGGCCGCGGCAGTCCCACAAGCACGGAGCCTTAGTTTCCTGGGCTCAGGCCTGGGCAGGTGCTGTGCAGCCCAGGCTCATCCACTCTGCTGCAACCCAGCCCTCTCAGGGGTATGACAGACAAGCCCCTTCAGATGAAGCATCCAGCAAAGCCATCAGAGGGACAATCGAGCTTTTCAGTCTAGACAGAGGCTCATGTAGTTCAGGCCTTGTATATAATCAAGCCTGGCCCTAGAACTCCTAATCCTCCCGTCTCAGCTTCTAGCCGGCACCACCCCCCAACTCTCCCAACCAATCACCTTGGGGATGCTGCATCCCATACCCAGATTTGTGTGCATGCTCGCACGCGTGGAGGCGGTGATGGAGGCCAGGTCCTGTACTCGACTGATCTGTCTCTGCTGAGACAGTCTCACTCTGACCTGAGCTTGCCGGACTCAGCCAGACTGTGGTGAGACCTAGGGATCCCCAGTGCTGGGGTGACAGTCACATACCATGCCTTTCCCCTCAAGTGGGCTCTGGAATTCACACCCAGGCCCTCGTCCTGGTTCGTTACCAACTCTGTTAGTGAGGAGACACAGGCCTGGTGCGCACCTGCAGCAAGCCGCACCACCCTCACCTCAGTGCCCACAGCTCCCACTGTCTCCCAATGCCGCCCATCGCCCCACAGCCCGGTGCTTTGGGCTTTGAGTAAATAGAAAAAAGTAAGTGTTCCTGGCCCAGGAGAAAAAGCTCATTCCGGAAGACAAGTTCAAATCCCCTTGTAAAATTAGACGTAGCCATGGAGTGTGAGCCAGCACTCCTATGGTGAGACAGGATGGGAGACGCCAAAGTCGGAGAGCCAGCAAGCCTGGGGTACACACAACGGAAAACATGGGGCAAGGCCCGACACCCAGGGTTGTCCTCTGACCATCACACACCCTCACAAGCACGAGCGTGCACACACGCGCACACACAGAACATCCTGACCATCACACACCCTCACAAGCACGAGTGTACACACGCACACACACAGAACATCCTGACCATCACACACCCTCACAAGCACGAGTGTGCACACGCACACACACAGAACATCCTGACCATCACACACCCTCACAAGCATGAGTGTGCACATGCACACACACAGAACATCCTGACCATCACACACCCTCACAAGCATGAGTGTGCACACACAGAACAAAGGTGACAACACCAACACAATGGCTGGCGTGCGGGCACACACAGAGCACAGGCCGCCACCTACCAGCAGTGCGTGCTTTTCCTTACAATCAAAGTGCTTGAGCCTTCGAAGTGAGACGGTGATTCTTGACAGAACAGAGGCCAAGGTCAGCACAGTAGCCTCATCCCAGGGGAGGCACCCCCTCCTCCGAGACTTAACCCTAGTCTGGACTGCAACACCTCCATGGCACTGGGGGCCCAGGTCCCTAGCCCAACCAGCCACCCTCAGGTACACACAGGTGTCAAGAAGTGTCACCTAGAAGATGCCTGAAGCCTCTGAGGCCATTGTGAGAAGGGCAGCAGCTGGGGGTGCAGTTCAATCAAGAAGCGTATTCTGCTGAGGCTTTCCTGCAGTGCAGCACGTGGGGGGGTGCAGGGGGGGGTGCGGGTGCGGGGGGGGGGGCGTGCGGGGTGGGTGTGGGTGGGGTGGGTGGGTGTGGGTGCGGGGGGTGCGGGGTGGGTGCAGGGTGGGGTGGGGTGGGGTGGGATGGGTGCTGCTCTGTCTGGCTAAGGCACCAAATAGCAAGGTGGATGCTGGACTGTGTCAGAAGCTGCAGTCAGAGTACCACAGAGGTCTCTGCCCCTGCCCAGGCCCTAACCCTTAGAGTACTAACCCTCGGCCCTTAGGGTTCATGTTGCCCTCAATGAACAGCACACTGGCTTTCTTGTCTCTCCGTCGGACACTCTTGACCTGCAGGCAAATTGGAACAGCACAGCATGACTGGGGTGGAGGTGGTGCTTTCCACCTGCAATGAGGCCCTCCAGGCCTGGGCTTGGCCAGCCTAGTGCTGTGGTGTGACCCAGGCTTCAGGCCCCATTGCTTCCTGGGGCTCTGTGGTATTATGAAGCAGAATCCAGTGATTTGCATTTGGGTCTTGTTTATAAATCTTTTGTTACAAGTGCAGAAGCGCATTGTGTAGAAGCCAAGGACAACCTCAAACACTGGCCTTGCCATCTACCTTGCTTGAGACAAGGTCTCTCTATCAATGACCCAGACTAGTGGACAGAGCGTCTGGAGTTCTCCCATCTCTGCCTTCCAGCCCAGAGAGAAAGGCAGACACACTAGAGTCTGGCTCTGTGTTCTAAGAGCTAAACTCAGGCCTTCGTGCTACTATAAGCACTTTACCCACCGAGCTGGTCCACCTGGCCCACTTTGTTTTTTAGTCTCACATAAACTGGGTGGTGGCGCACGCCTTTAATCCCAGCACTTGGGAGGAAGCAGCAAGTGGATCTCTGTGAGTTTGAGGCCAGCCTGGTCTACAAGTTTCAGGACAGGCTCCAAAGTTACAGAGAAACCCTTTATCAAAAAAACAAAAGATCCAAAACAAGACACAAACCACTAAAGTTAGGTGCAAGAATAGCATCCCATGACAGGAGAGCGAGGGGTGATGATGGGGGAGTCTCCACCTAGGGAGGGTTACAGCCTGTGCCTGAATGTACCTAGGGCTGTCCTTGGCAGAGCAAGCTCACCAGCCACATGACAGACCTTCAGTGGGACTGAGACACTTTTTTTTTTTTTATTGTTTTAGACACAGATCTCATGTAGCCGACGCTGGCTTCTAACAGGCACATACCACCATGTCCACGGCATCATAGGAACTAAATTCAGGGGCCTGGATGGAGGAGACTTGAAGCATCCATTCCTGAAGTTCAGCAGAGCTCTCTGCTTACACAAGCTTTCCTGAGGAAACGTGGTGTGAATTCCACTTAGGACACCATGTTAAATGGCACTCATCAAATGACCAGGCCCCGGCTAGAGGGGGCTGTGTGCACCACGTCAGAGTTACCAGTGCTTGAGTCTTCCAGCATTAGCAGAGCCAAACTACTACCTGAGCAGGGGGAATGGGAACTTACCACGGCTGGCCAGAACGGGTATTTTTGGTATTTCAGCCAGACCAGCATCCCTACTTCAAATGATCGTGGTTCTAGGGTTCAAAAGGAAAAGAAGGCTGAGTCAGATACGCCTTAAACAAGTACAGTACAGACATAAAAAAAGAAACCCACGTTCCTGGCGACATCATTTCAACCCAACTCTAACCTCCTCATCTACCAGGAAACCCAGAGAGCTCACAGAACAGGAGTCTGAGTACCCATCATGAGCCACGGCCACGGCTGTGTCCCCGTGATAAACAACAGAGACGACCATCATGAGCCACGGCCATGGCTGTGCCCCAGTGAGAAACGACAGAGACGACCACCAAGAGCTATGGCCACGGCTGTGTCCCCGTGAGAAACGACAGAGACGACCATCATGAGCCATGGCCACGGCTGTGTCCCCAGTGATAAACGACAGAGACGACCATCATGAGCCATGGTCATGGCTGTGTCCCCAGTGAGAAACAACAGAGACGACACCAGCAACAGGATGGATGACTTCTATCCCCAAATCTCCACCTCTAAGTCTAACATGTTCCCCAAAGCAGACATTAGGATGACTGCATCCACGCAGGCACAGCGCTGCACCGAGTGGAGATTATACAGTCTCATGGCTCCCGGAATAAACTGCCCTCCTGGGAACAGCAAGTTCAAGGAATTGGAGACAGTGCGGTCACAAAAATCAAAAAACAAGATGATTTCAGAGGAAGAAAAGTCATTCTTGCCTGTGGTTTTGAGACAGGGGTCTATGTACACACAGCTGGCCTGGAACTCAGATCCACATGCCTCTGCCTCCTGTGCTGGAGTGAAGGGTGGCCGCCTTCAGCTTGCAGGGTTCCCTCTGCCTTCACCTGCTTTGCTGCATAAAACTCAACATTTTCTATTCGCCAAGAATTTCAGGAAGGCCAGGCAGTGGTGGTGCACACCTTTAATTCCAGCACTCCAGATCCAGAGGAGGGCCGATCTCTGTGAGTTCAAGGCCATCCTAGTCTACGAAGTGAGTTCCAAGACAGTCAAAACTGTTAGATAAAGAAACCCTGTCTCAGAGCTGGAGAGATGGCTCAGCAGTTAAGAGCATTGCCTGCTCTTCCAAAGGTCCTGAGTTCAATTCCCAGCAACCACATGGTGGCTCACAACCATCTGTAATGAGGTCTGGTACCCTCTTCTGGCCTTCAGGCACACACACAGAAAGAATATTGCATACATAATAAAGAAAAAGAAAGAAAGAAAGAAAGAAAGAAAGAAAGAAACCCTGTCTCAAAAAAACCAAAACCAAGCAAACAAAAGAATCCCAGGATGAGGGACTGATGTAGGGATGTAGACTGATAAGGCTTTAGCATCAGGAAAGCTATCAGGAAGTGGAGATACTGACTGCCATGTCTCCCACCATGAAATCCAAAGCTGTAAAGGGCTCACTGGGCCAGCAGGAACTCTGAGGAAGTCACAGCTCATCCAGGAGAGGCTCCAAGCACCTCAAAGACCCTGGCTGGAAACTGGCAATTGTCATGAGCTTGGTCTAGTGGGTTAAGGAAGCCATCAGCTCAAGCCTGGCATGGAAGAACACTAGACACCAAAGATCCTAAGGTCTGGAAGCTGAGGTCTCTCTGCAGCCAGTATGCCCTGATCTTCAAATTCACCCAAAGATGAGGATTTCAAGGCATAGCTCACACCAGCACCCAGGCCCTTCAACCATCCTAGATACTCAGTGGGAACTGAGCCTGGGTCCTCAGCAAGAACTTGGCTCCAGGACTCAGGCACACTAAAGGGAACAGGAGGTAAGATGGGGATGGAATCTGGCTGGTCCTCACTAAGAACCCCGGTGTGTTCTGCAGGCGTTACCTGCTCAGGAGGCTGCTGACAGCCCCCCAGCCTGCCCTGTATCATCCGGGCCGCACAGTACAGCATCCCAGTGTGTAGCAGACTCAGGAGAGGCTGAGCTGTCCCTGTGCACTCAGCAGCATGTCATTCTCGGCTGCACACCCAATTCATTTCGTACTTCTAGGGAGGATGGACTCAGGTCCCTGGACAAATGGCAAAGGTGGTTCTGCCCAACTGAGGGCAAAAGAGTCTGCATCTTGCCCAGAAAGGGACAGGACCAACACTGGTTTCCATGCAGGGCTGGCTACCTATCCTAAGCACCATTAGCGAGGAGACAAAGCTCTGGACAGGTGTCGGGTCAGGGAGAGCATAACACCCGAAACAGTGTTAGGTATGGAGGCGCACACCTTTTATCCCAGCACTCTCAAAGCAGAGACAAGGGGATCAAATTGAATTTGGGCCAGCCTGGTCTACACAGCAAGTTCCAGGCTACTTAGAGGTCACCAGTGAGACCCAGTCTAAAAACAAAAACACCACCAGCACCAAACAATAGGATGACTTTACGGAGTGGACCCTCGCCCATCGCTCTCCCGGGTGCAGTGCCCTTACCGTGATACAGAAGGATCCGGGGTGGCTCCTCCTCTTCCTCCTCTTCCTCCTCCAGCAGGGAGTGGATGGACTTGAACCCTGTGAACTCTTCTGAGGACACAGGATCTGCTGAGACAGGGGACACCAACTGATGGCCACCCCTCACCCTGCACAAAGGGCTAGGGACAAAGAACCATCTAGGATAAAGGACGGAGCCACACAGATTCAACAAGGGTGCACCCTGTGTCAGATCTGTGTTTGTCTGTCTTTAAATTCTTCTACATGTACTTGTGTGTCTGTGCATACGTGTACACATGCACATACGTGCACACACAGAAATCACAACTACTCTGTGGAATCAGACTCAGGTCACCAAGTTCAGTGTCACTGTCTCATCTGCTGAGCCACGTCACGGACCCCTCCTGTTCTGTTTAAATCCTGAGACCAGGGACAAACAAAGGGTCTCCTGCTGGCCAAGCACGTGCTCTAGCTCTAAATGCCAGCCTCAAGTAGATGCTAAAGAAAAAAAAACAGGAAGAAAAGGGCTATCAAGCGCAGCACTCGGTAACAAAGTGTGGGGACTCCAGGTGGTGAGCCTGACCTGTGGCTACACAGAGAATGAGCCCCCAGAACCAAAAGGTGACTGCAAACAAGATACAGTGGAGGGAACAAGCTGCTCGCTGTAGCCCGTGGACAAGCAGAGGGTGGCCTTGTGAAGGACCCCACTGAGTGCCATGTCTACCACTCCACACGAGTCCTGATCCCCCGCCAGAGCTCAGGGGGTCAAGGTTTGGACGGGGCCCAGCCCCTGGCTGTAGCCACACATAGGTTTCAGAAGTACCTCCAGACAGCTCCTGATGCTGGGCTCCTAATCCCCTCACTCACTCGGAATGTGCTTTGGGTGCTCTGCAGGGTCACTAACTGCTACCCCCAGTTCTGCCCGAGCTTCCACTCTCTTCAGACACAAAGAACTATGTGAGAGAAGACAAAGTCACTATACTTCAGGGGGCAGACAGACCCGGGTCCCTGTCCATGGTTACCTTCCTCTGGCTTGTCCCTGTCACTAGACCTGAGCAGCACCATGGTCTCCCCAGGCCAGTTCTGAGGGGAGGGTGCTGCCCCCACAGTTCCAGTCGCCAGCTGCCCGGGGGGTGGGTTCTGGCTTCCATCCAAGCGTGGCCTCTTTGTGGCGCGTCCTCTGCCTCTGTCAGAGGCTGGGAGCAGCCTGCTGCTGCCTGATGGCACAAACGGGTCACAGCCTTTGACCCCGGCACAGGGGTCCTCTTCTGAGGCTTGGGGGAGTAGCCCAGGTGAAGCTGGGGTCATACAGCTGTTTGCCTGTCCCTCGCTCTCGTCAACACTTTCTCCCTTGGAAAGGCAACATGCTGTTCTGCGGCGCCGGGTAGGTTTCTCTCCCAAATTCCTCCGCCTCTTCTTGGCAGTGTCCTGTTCACAGTCCAGCCGTGATCCAGCATCCTGAGACCCATCTCCAGCTGGGGAAGGTAATGCTGCTCTCAGGGTTCCGTTTTTTGTGAGGCCTATCCTGCGGTCCTCTTCAGCTGCAGGCAGTCCCGGCAGGCTTTGTGGGAGCCACTCCCTCTTGGGTGTGCACTGGGCAGCCACACTGTCACCGTCCTCGCTGCAAAAGGATGGAGAGCGAGCGCCGGGCACCCAAGAGGCGGCATCTGCATGTGGCTTCTCTTCCCTCACATGGCTTTCAGGACTCAAACTTGTCCTCTCATTCAAGACATCCAGGGCCACTCGCAGGGAGCGTCGATAGGTCAGCTCCTCCAGGGGAGTAGCTGTGACCTCATTCTGAGACGCTGTGGAGACAAAGATCCACATGATGAAGGTGCACAGGTGCCTAGCACTTGTCACTGCAGCCAGCGGCAGCAGACTCCATGACCACGCCAAGTGCCTGGAACCCGTCTTTGCAGAGCCACAGGCAGGCCCAGCACTGCTCCTGCCACACGTCCCCCGCAAAAAGAGGACAAAGCCAGGATGTGACTATATATTCACTCTGGGCTATGACTGAACAGCAGCACATACCGGAATGACCTCAGCCTGACAGGTCAACATGTGCAAAACAGCACTGTGTAGAAACACATCTGAACGTCTTGTGCTGTTCATTTGAGGGGAATTGGGACAGCTTCACACTCGCCAAGATAACTGCTTCTGTCTACCACATCCACACTTGTCGCCTGCTTAACAAAGACTAACGGGTGCTTCCAAGCAACCCCAACCCTTCAAGCCAGCACTGGGGACACCCTTGTTCTCTATGCAAGGTGGCCAGCCCAGCCTGCAGCTCCCCTGTGCGCTCCATGAAGGCCTTGCTCTGGCTGTCCTGGGCCTGCCTTGGCTGCTGGGACTTACTCTCTCAACCTGATGGCCAGGAGCCCGACACCAGCTCTGCTGGCTGGTGACTGCCGCTATCGAGGACCCTTGCCGTGGGCGCCACTGCCAGGTCTGGAGCGGGGTCAATAAGAAGTCTAGCTCAGCCACAAGAGGAGGTGTGGAGGGGCTGAACTGCGGGCCTACACACACAAAGAGGAGTCCCACCCGATACACACTGACTCCCCACTCACAATACCCGTAAGTGACATGGAGGGGGTGACATGGAATCTGACCACTCTGGCCTTTTTAATTGGCAATTTATGCATGTGTACGTATGTATTATATGTGTCTATCTCTCCTTATGTATGTTATATTCACACATATGCATATCTGGATATTGTATGTCTGCTTCTTTCTGTTTTATGTATGCACATGTGTGTCTATCTTATGTTATACATGCATGTGTGTCTTTCTGTTATGTATGCACATGTGTGTCTATCTTATGTTATATATGCATGTGTGTCTTTCTGTTATGTCTGGAACCTGGGTATGGGGTCTAATACCTGAGATCCCTGTCCTACAAAGGCTGAGGGAGGAGGACTGCCACCACCTCCAGGCCTGCTCAGGCTGCAATATGAGACTCTACCTCAAAAACTATGAAACACACACACATCGAAACAAAACAAAAACAAAACCCAACAAAACAAAACAAAAAACCCATAGAAGCAGGGAATGCAGATAGTGGTCGGCTCCCACTGCCAACACTGCCCAAACAAAAAGCCACAAACATAAACAGATAGAGCTGGCTCTGGTGTGGGGGAGTAAGTACCTACCATGCACAAGGCCCTGGGTTCTGTCCCCGGCCCACGTGAATACATCATCACAGCACTGGGGACTCAGAGCTAGGAGGATCGGGAGTTCAGGTCAGCCTCTGCTATACAGTGATTTCAAGACCAACCTGGGCTACGTGAGACCCTGTCTAAAAAAGGCTAAGGGAAAAAAGCAAGCAAATCCATTTTTCCTCCTGTGAGATGCCCCCTAACACAGGGGCGTGGAAAAGATGGACCAGTCGCTGAGGCCCAGCACGGTGGTGGCCTGGCTGGAGCCCTTACCCAGAAAGGTGGCAATATTCTCAATGTGCGATTTCTGCAGCGCCTCCACGGCTGAGCTCTTCACCTGGATCCTGCGGCGAGAAAGAGCTGGTTACTGCCACCAGCCTGCAAACCCAACTGTCCAGATGTCCCTCACGACCTTCCACTTACACCAAAAGTCACACTGAAGGAGGGACAGGGAGGGACACACTGCCGAAGTGACAAGCACAGCCAACCAGGGTGGACACGGCTTTTTCTCTCTCACCCTTTTCCTCCCCACTTTTAAGAAAGAAAAGGTCGGCTGGAGTTAAGAGTAAAAATAAATTCAAATTGGGACTTTCATGAGCAAATCCGACTTTCAACTGTACAAATAACTCCTTTGTTAGGTTTTCCGAGTAGCCGCTAATGTCACCGAGAGCTGTTTACAGCCCAGCAGGCGCGGTTTAGTTTAAAGGACACTCTTTCCTTTAAACTCAAGCATTCAATTACCTTCCCTGCCGCAGGGAGAGCGGGAGCTGGGGACTCTCAAGTGGTGGCAGGCTCTGAAGATGGTGGCAGGAAGGAGCGGGCCGCGAGACCCAGGAGACGGGCAGCCAGTGGACTCTTCAGAAGCGAGGACTGTAGCAGGGGACTATATGCGTGCCCACACCCACATCGTCCTTGCAGATGGCCCATGAAGGGTGATCAGGTACAGTACAACAGAGTCCCGCCACCCATCCGCTTTGCCGGTATGGAAACGTGTTTTTTCTTAGGGGTGCAGGGGTCTGGCACAGCCAGACCAGAAACAAAATACGCTGGTTCTTGGCAAGAGGGGAGACCCCGGCATGGCTCCCTGGAGGTAATTTCTATTTATTCGCCCTTGAGACCCCTCTCTCTGTAGATCCCTGGACCTCAAGTAAGACCTTCAATTCAAAACTGGTATCTGAAAAAACCCACTGTCTTCTCTGCAGGGCTACGAGTGTGGAGATGATGGCCCTGCTTCTCTCCTGTCTCTATCATTTGAGAAGCGAAGACAGTATTAAAAACACACACACTTACTTTTCTTTTAGTGAGAGTATTTGAACATCTAGAAATAATTCTTTTTTTCTCTTATTTTTCGCTGAAGTCTCAGTTCTGGCCAAAACCTATGTGTAGAAACAGAATTCTTATTACGACGACATGCAGGAACAGACATGTGGCACTCCCTTCCCAATGGCCACAGGATTGACCAGACACCTCATTTAAGCTCCTTTGATTCAGGCAGAGAAACTGAGGCACTTCAGCCCATGGCCATCCCAGGTTAGGGCGCAGACTCAGCAGCTCCTGCTAAACTGCCAGAAAGCACCCCTAAAACACCACAGCTATTCCCTGGGGGCTCCTAGCTGGAACTCCTGTCGTCACAGCCTTCCAAGCCTTTTTATAGCTGACTTTGGTTATTTTTATTTACTTAGTTTTTTTTTCTTTTCCTTGGTGTGAAAATAATTAAAGACAATTCCGGATATAGAGGCTCCTAAGCGCCAGACCAAACCCTGTGGAGTGAAGGAACCCCGGGAAGCGCGCCAGCAGATCTGGGTGCCAAGCATTCAGGCTCAATCCGAGGGAGCACAGTCTGATAAAGACTTTATTGTCACCAAAAGTCATTTCTAATTCTACAAATTAAGAGAATAAGGGCTGTCACCTTCGCAGGCCACAATCGCTTCTCCCATCGGCAGAGGACATACTTGGCATCCGTCATGACTTGGAGCTGTGGTAGGAAGGGGGTAGCTACGAGCTACAGGGCCTGACGCCAGAGGTGCCCTGCAACAAAATATGTGTGATAGCTTAGAAAGGCATTTGCTTGCATCCAGTGACATTTGCAACAGGAGCTTCAAGAGCAGAAGCTGGCCTCATACACAGCCTCTAGGAGACTGTTCAGCCAGAACCTGGCCACAAGACAGTCAAAGTCAAGTGCAAGGTCCTAGGACTTGGGAAGTAGCTGCATTGTTTTCCATAAGTAAAACTCAACAAATCCCCCCTTCAAGGTCGCACCCAGGGCACCCACAGCAGCTGCAGATCTTCGTTGCAGTCAAAGCTCACAACCCTCCTAGCCTCAAGCCTGATGGGTGACCACAGCACACAGAGGGCACTCATGGCTGCCCCGTTCCCTGGAAGGACAGAGACAGATGCAGGCGTTCACAACATGACACCCCTGGCAGACACAGCCAGGGCTGTGGACAGAAAAGGAAAGATGGGGGAGGGGGAACCAAAGCAGCAGGAAGGACACCAGGGACAAGGAGGGGACCCGCCAGGAGAAACAAGGGTTTATGTAGAAGAGTTTACAGGAGAAGAGGTTTCCAGAGGGGTTACGTACAGCAGAGTTGGGGGATTGATTAATACAAGGTTCTCAGCAAGGATGGAAGTTCAGGAAGCAAATAAGGACTTCTAAGCAGGTATGGGAAATCAGATAACAAAAGATGGGGCTCAGGTAGCAGAAGGTTTGGGCAGCAAATATTGGGTTCATAGCAAGGGAGGAGGTTCAAGAAGAATCAGGCAGGAGAGATGGAGTTTGCAGTAATGACTAGGTTCACAGAAGGGGAGCAATACAGGAAGCAAAGATGGGGTTCACATAAGGAACTGAGATCCAGGCTGCAAAAACTGGAGTTCAACAGGAAATGGTGTTTGCAGCAATGAGAGGACAAGCTGTGAGAGGCATAGGGCTCATGGGACTCTACCGAAACTCTAGGTTCAAACAGGGATAGGGTCTGAGCAGGATTTGGGGTTTGAACTGCAAAGAGGGAGTCCCAAAAGAAACAGGGGTTCAGTATGCACAGTGGGGCCCATGCAGGAAATTCCGAGTTCCCAGCAAGAACACAGGTTCAGGCTGCAAAGATGGGATACCAAGCAAGAAATCTGCGTTTCAGGCTGGGGAGGGGGGGAGGGGGGTGGTAGAGTAAGAAATGGGTTCACACTGCAGAGGTGGGAAACTGGGTTAATACGGAGCTTCCAGCAGAAAATTCGGGATCTCAGAAAGGACACAGGTCCAGGCTGCAAAGAGGGCAAAGATTAGGCAGAAAACTCGGGATTCAGGCTGCAGAAGAGGAGATCAGGCCGGAAATACGGGGTTCAGGCTGCAGAAGATGGGGATCAGGCCGGAAATACGGGACTCTCAGGGAGTCGGGGACTCAGGCTACAGAGAAAGGGATTCAGGTAAGAAATACAGGGTTCGCAGCAGGAAACTGGAGGTTCTCGGCACCCGCGGGGCTCGGCTGCACATGGGCTGCACTTGGGCCCTGCGCAGAACCGGACGCGGCCCAGCAGGTCCGGCCCAGCCGCCGCCCTTCCCCAGGCTCTCCGCCTGCGCCCCATCTGGCCCTCCCAAGGCCGCAGCGGGCTCACCCACCCCCTAGCCCACCCGACGCGGCGTCCGAGCCTGAGCGACCAGGCCGTGGCGATCCCAACGGCGGACGCCCGCCCGCCAACCGCCGCCGCCAGCCCAGGGGCTCACCGCCTCCACGCAGCGCAGATCCCCGCGGGCTAGGGGCGGGGTCTACCTCGCAGCGGCACCAGGCCCCGCCCACGCGCCCGCCCAATAGGAGGTGCGTACCTGCGCTTCGGTCCCGCCCCCAGACGCTAGCGGCCTCCTGCGGGCCACGCCCCATGGTGTCGGCCACGCCCCCAGCCGCCCTCCCTCCTGCCCAGCGACTTGTGGCGCGCGCAGGAAGGGCGCCCCCTGCGCCCGAGGCAGGATAAGCCTCGCGGCCGCCCCTAGCCCCAGCCCCCACGTCCCAGAGTCGACGGCGGCCTCGCTAGGCCACGCCCCATGGTGTAGCCCTGCCCCTTCCTTCCCGCAGCCTGCGGTCAAGCAGGCCCCTGTTCCTGTAGGATTCCCATCTGTGTGGCACTGTGGGTAGTCAGAGAAGGGGGGTTGCTCCTGTGCCCCTCACAGAACCTTCTAGGACCTCCCAGCTTCTGGGGTGACCCGATTCCCACTGCAGAAAGCACATCATCGAGTGAGGATGGTCGTGAGGTCCCCGAGTGCCCTCGAGCCAAGCCGGTTACTGAGTGGGAGGGGCTGCATCCAGGACCCCCATGGGGGTTGCTAGAGCTGGAAGCTTCCAGTTTGGCTGCCCACCATGAGGCTGTGACTTGAGACACTGATACTGTAAGCAGTTGTTGGTATAAGAAGATTTATATTGCTGGGCGGTGGTGGCGCACGCCTTTAATCCCAGCACTCGGGAGGCAGAGGTAGGCGGATCTCTGTGAGTTCGAGACCAGCCTGGTCTACAAGAGCTAGTTCCAGGACAGGCTCCAAAACCAGAGAAACCCTGTCTCTAAAAACCAAAATAAATCAATAAATAAAAAAGAAGGTATATTTTGTTTGCTTGGTTGGTTTTTTGTTCGTTTGTTTTCGAAACAGTTTTTCTGTGTAGCCCTGGCTGTCCTGGAACTCGCTCTGTAGACCAGGCTGGCCTCGAACTCAGAAAAATCCGGCCGGGCGGTGGTGGTGCACGCCTTTAATCCCAGCACTCGGGAGGCAGAGGCAGGCGGATCTTTGTGAGTTCGAGGCCAGCCTGGTCTACAAGAGCTAGTTCCAGGACAGGCTCCAAAGCTACAGAGAAACTCTGTCTCAAAAAAAAAAGAAAAAGAAAAATCTGCCTGTCTCTGCCTCCGGAGTGCTGGGGTTAAAGGCTGCGCCACCACTGCTTGGCCTTGCTCAAGTTCTTAACTACATTCTCTCATCTGTTTCCCCAAAGCTGCTCACCTGTGTGAAGGTCAGGATCATCCCCGGGAGACTCCAGTGTTCCTAGCAGCCCTGCGGATGTGTAGAGCAGACCCTGGTCTCTGGTTATCAGCCCTGCAGATGTGTAGAGCAGACCCTGGTCTCTGGTCATCAGCCCTGCAGATGTGTAGAGCAGACCCTGGTCTCGGCCTCTGCTTATCAGCCCTGCTGGGTCCCCACTGAGTTGTTTATTGTCTAAAATGGCTTTTATTTATCTATTTATCCATCACACATGGAGGAACTAGCTTTGCTGGCCACAGAGGTGAGGTGATGGGCCTCTATCCTGAGTTCCATCAGATGGTGGCTCTGCACCCCAAATTTTTCTAGGTCAGGTGTCAAAGTCCCAGAAGCTCAGATGGCAATTCTGGGGTCTCCCAGCAGCACTGGCCAAAGGGAGAGGGGAATTCTCTTGACGTGGTCCCCACATCGTCACTAAGCACTACTGGTCTATTATGTAAGCGTGGAAATGATGTGTGAGCAGGTAAGGTGTGTGTGTGTGTGTGTGTGTGTGTGTGAGAGAGAGAGAGAGAGAGAGAGAGAGAGAGAGAGAGAGCGCAGTGGACGGGATGTGTGTGTGTGTGAGTGGAGGGTGTGTGTGTGTGTGAGTGGAGGGTATATGTGTGTGTGTGAGTGGAGGGGGTGTGTGTGTGTGTAGGGTGTGTGTGTGTGAGTGGAGTGTGTGTGTGTGTGAGTGGAGGGTGTATGTGTGTGTGAGTGGAGGGTATGTGTGTGTGTGTGAGTGGAGGGTGTGTGTGTGTGTGGAGGGTGTGTGTGTGAGTGGAGGGTGTGTGTGTGTGTGAGTGGAGGGTGTGTGTGTGTGTGAGTGGAGGGTGTGTGTGTGAGTGGAGGGTGTGTGAGTGGAGGGTGTGTGTGTGAGTGGAGGGTGTGTGTGTGTGAGTGGAGGGTGTGTGTGTGTGAGTGGAGGGTGTGTGTGTGTGTGTGAGTGGAGGGTGTGTGTGTGTGTGTGTGAGTGGAGGGTGTGTGTGTGTGTGTGTGAGTGGAGGGTGTGTGTGTGTGAGTGGAGGGTATGTGTGTGTGTGTGAGTGGAGGGTGTGTGTGAGTGGAGGGTATGTGTGTGTGTGAGTGGAGGGTGTGTGTGTGTGTGTGAGTGGAGGGTATGTGTGTGTGTGTGAGTGGAGGGTGTGTGTGTGTGTGTGTAGGGTGTGTGTGTGTGAGTGGAGGGTGTGTGTGTGTGTGAGTGGAGGGTGTGTGTGTGTGTGTGTGTGAGTGGAGGGTGTGTGTGTGTGTGAGTGGAGGGTGTGTGTGTGTGTGTGTGAGTGGAGGGTATGTGTGTGTGTGTGTGAGTGGAGGGTGTGTGTGTGTGTGTGAGTGGAGGGTGTGTGTGTGTGTGAGTGGAGGGTATGTGTGTGTGTGTGAGTGGAGGGTGTGTGTGTGTGTGTGTGTGAGTGGAGGGTATGTGTGTGTGTGTGTGAGTGGAGGGTGTGTGTGTGTGTGTGTGTGTGTGAGTGGAGGGTGTGTGTGTGTGTGAGTGGAGGGTGTGTGTGTGTGTGTGTGTGAGTGGAGGGTATGTGTGTGTGTGTGTGTGAGTGGAGGGTATGTGTGTGTGTGTGAGTGGAGGGTGTGTGTGTGTGTGTGAGTGGAGGGTGTGTGTGTGTGTGTGAGTGGAGGGTATGTGTGTGTGTGAGTGGAGGGTGTGTGTGTGTGTGTGTGTGTGTGAGTGGAGGGTATGTGTGTGTGTGTGAGTGGAGGGTGTGTGTGTGTGTGTGTGTGAGTGGAGGGGGTGTGTCTGAGTGGAGGGGGTGTGTGTGTGTGTAGGGTGTGTGTGTGTGAGTAGAGGGTGTGTGTGTGTGTGAGTGGAGGGTGTGTGTGTGTGTGAGTGGAGGGTGTGTGTGTGTGTGTGTGTGAGTGGAGGGTGTGTGTGTGAGTGGAGGGTGTGTTTGAGCGGTGGAGGTGTGGGCAGAGCAGGTCTCTCACAAGGCTGGTTCTGTGGGTTCACACTCCCCAGCCAGGCAGAAGCAGTGAGAACAAGATATGGTGACGCAAGGGATTAGTTAGCCCAGTTCCCAGCTGGCTCGGTCCCCTCCAGCCCAGTCACTAGCTAAGCAACTAACCCATCCACCTAGTAACCTAGTAACCTGTTCATGGTTGATCCACTTATTATCTATTAACCAGTTAGCTTGGTCCCTAGTTAACCCATTCACCTGTTAACCAGTTAACTTCGTTCATAGTTAATCCATTCACCTGCTAACCAGTTAACTTGGTCCCTAGTTAACCCATTTACCCATTACTCTTTTCTTTCGTTTCAGTGAACAGATCTGCCAGAGCTGAGCACAGGGTAACCCAGACCTTGACCTCAATTGCTAACAGTTTCCTGTGGGGTCTTCTGAAGACTCTGTGATAGCGGGTGACTGTCCAGCCCCTTGGGAACTGAATCTCCTACATCAGC